CAATGACAAAACAAGAAATACTAGTTTAAGGTGATTTTGATGTCTGAAACAGCTACAAATACAAAACATTTGAAAAACAAGACAACAACCATAAAAAAGCCTGCTAGCAGTGTTACAAGAAAGGGAAGACCAAAGAACCTAAAATATAAAAATAAAAAATGGTGATCCTGAATTTATTTCTTTAATTTTAACTGGATTAGTTTGGTTTCTTATATCAACCAGCTACACTGAGTTTTGTGTTTTGATATTTTTTTGCTGAAAATCAAGTACACCAATCCTTGAATAATTAATAGGCATTACAGTTGTTGTAATGGCTACCTAACATTTCAGATAGTCTTTTTAAATTTTTATATTTGAAAATGATAACTAGTATACTACAGTGACCTATTATTACTAGACAGTGGACATTACATAATGACAATGATCACTACACGTATCAGCGTCAAACAAAATGCAAGTTTATGAACAAGATTTAGACAGATCTGAAATTAATTCTTTTGTTAGTTGCAAAGATCACTTGGTCAATAACAGCCATAATTCATTATTACAATCAGTTATAGCAAACAATTAAGTGGTGTATATTGTAATTCAGTCAAACATTAACTGAGGATAGCAGCTAAAATACATTATAACAAGTTTGAACGGTATCCTCAAGTCCCTATCAACATGTTATTGCTGAAACTTAAAATTGATATAGAATGTTAATTATGTAGCATCAGACTGGATAAGATGACACCACTTTTATACTTTACTATTAGCCATGATACTAGAACACCCTGCTAGCTGCACAATTCTTCACATCTCAGTTTAACTTGGTTTGGCTTGAATTTGGCCTCTCCAGCAAGCTAATTGATCGCACCTCCCTGACCTGATACTGATGGCGTATTCCACTGAGATTGGTCATGGTCATACCAGCTTGATCCAATTCAGTTTAAGTAAGAAAAGGGGGAAGGGGAGAGGACTAGGTGATCCCCAACTAAGAGATTTACCTAGCACAATATTTTGAGCACGGTGCCACAAGTATTCAAACTTTGAATCATTTCAAGTCAAACAGAGCAAGTAGACTGATTTTGAACACTCTGGAACCATTGAGATTGATCTTTTAAGAATGGTACTCAGATCTACCAATAACAAGAATGGTACTGATTTTGAACACTCTGGTGCAGAGTTCAAGTAAAAGAATAACAAGAAACAGAACATTATAGTAACTAAAAAGTGGCTTCTTGCAGAGGAAATAGCAACTAGCAAAAAAATTGGTTATACGCAAACTATAGAGGAAGTAGACAGAATAGAGAAGAGGATAAAGATAAGGTAGAAGCAAGAAACAGAGGCCTGGAGAAAAAAGAGGAGAAAGACAAAAGAATAGTGAAAATAAGAGACTACCAAACTGATAAAGTATACAAAAAAAAATTGATACCACAAATTTAAAATCCTGCTGCACCATTTTCTTATCAGTCAATATTCAAGGACCTACACGAACCTTAATACAACTTCTTCATAACAAACATATGGTTTATCTTCAATCCAATCATCTGCAACTATATATAAACATCCTATTCTCCTATATATTATCATTACAAAAGCATAACTTGATTAAAAAAGCCTAAATTGGTTAAAGAAAGTGACGATCAAGATGTAAAATAGAAGATGATTACACAAGCTAACATTGCAAAAGCCCTAGTTTTACTCTAGCATGATTAACTTGTTAGTATACTGAAATCTGAACTACAAAAGGGGACAAAGAAATTAGCCAAAGACTCAAAGCCGACACAAAAGTAAAACAAGAGGAACCCAACTAGGACTTGCCTTGGAATTAGATTTTAGACTCATGTTAAGTAAAACTAACTGGGCCTTTATGAACTCTGCTTAACTCAACTACTATATCATGCAAATTACTGGATTTTTTTTGGAACTAGAATATAAACAGATCCAAAGGTCATAGATTAATCTCCATCTCATCAAGTTGATGAAGAGTAATTGTTGTTCAAAGTTCAAACCATCATGTTCCTCTTTTCTATAACACACTCATGGTCATTTTAAAACTAATGTTGTCATTCACGACATAAAACTCTAAAAGTGAATCCTAATAGCTACGAATAAATAATAAATTGATCAGGAAAATCAGATAGCCTTCTCATAATCATTGAGATATGCAAGTCTATAGAACTTCTCATTAAGTTATAAAATCATATTTATCTTTGTGACCATCTACATAAAACACCATTTTTTCATGTAGCCTTGTTCTATGCATTTTGAGAAATATGCTTTATCATGCACGTGACAATCTCTAAAACAAAATTCCTTTTCTACTCCATATTTTTCTTGTTCTGTACTTCACTGATCTTCACTTGAATAAGGAGACTGTCCTTCAACACTAACTGATATAGAAAGTTTATCAAAGTGGAAGAGTTTGTTTTTCTTTTTGTTTCATTACTTGATCTTTTAAGTTTATCAATTCCTTGCGTATTCACTACACTCACTGGGTTAGAATTTTGTACATCAATATTGATCCACGGATTACACCATGAATGCTCAAATCCTTGGTTTCATAATCGCATAAGCTGAAATTTTATTAAATAACAGAAGCTTGCTTCCTAGGCTATAAAATCCATAAGCATGTCGAATTATATAGCATAAACAGATCATTCCCCCTTGGTGCGGCCAGAATAGCCAAGATTCACACAAAGGACAGGATTGTTGTCCTTCATTCTTTTGGCACCATTTTTGTCTGTTTTCCAATATAAAAGCCTAAAAACTGAGAAAGCAACGAACAAGAAACACAATTTTAGCCCCAGTTTAGCGCCAATGTGAAGGATAACAGTAACTGACACATGTGCTAGTGCATAATTTCATAAACATTCAATCACTAATAGGGAACCTACACAGTGACAAACTACTAACTTATACTCTGGGCGAACCTACACAGCACAATGACAAACTAGCATAAAACAGCTAATATCAATGCAATAGGGAAGTTGTGAACTAACTTGAATATTAAATATTCTATTCTCTTCAACTAGCTATATGAAAATCTAAATGTTTCCCTTGTTTGATGGATATTTAGGACACACAGGGACTCGTACACAGGAATGCAAGAACCATATTGAGATTTTACCAACAATCAATGATCTGACGAATCTAGAAAACCAAAAAAATCTAAGGCAATTATCAATTACAGGTATAAACCATCTTTAAAAATTAAAAAAAACTTCTTCCAGAGGGCAAATGAAGCAGAAAATAAATCAACTGGATAAACAATGGTAAGTAGAGACATAGCAAACCATTGATGGAAAGCTCCAAAATGATTACATTATCTTGTATCAATTGTCAAAGGCAATGAGTCCAACTGCAACCAAAAGCACAGTGACAAAATTATTTGCACAAAGCTTCCAAACATACCTCGTACCTAAAGAAAATTCCTTATCATTGGTTACTTGTACTCAAAGCTTGGAATTGGTGTACTGGGCGTATCGAAACTCTCCAACGCCTCAGTCTTGCTGCCACCACCCTGCAAATCATCACCTTGCTTCTTCCCACCTCCAAAGAAACCTCCAAACCAGGAGGAAGAAGATGACGAGGAGGTGGCACCGACAGACTCATTTGGTTGATACCCCACCTGTGAAAACCCCCCAGTCGTGGCTGACGAGGTTCCGGCCGCCGCAGTCATCGCTGCAATGTTGGGCGGCAGCCCGGCCGGGATGGGATCTTCCATCGGTGGGAGGTTCTGGGGGGCACTGAGGACGCGGTTAAGCATGATGCCGGCACCCTCTATAAGAGCGAGAAGGATGCCGCCAAAGAGAGCGGAACGGGCGGCGGGGCCAGCGCCCTGGCGCATCTGGAGGAAGCCGCCAGTGGCGGCGCCGGCGACGATGGAGTTCCAGGGGTCCTCCTTCTGGCGGAGGTAGACCATGGAGCAATCGAAGGCAGAGAAGAGACCGCCCCAGACGGCGAAGCTGCCGCCGACACGGGGAGCGTTCATGCGGACGGCCTGCACTCCGCCCGCCAGACGCTCCCCGTTGGGAGAGTTGTAGAGGCCCTTGATGAAGTGGAAGGCGGATCCACCCACGGCGCCCATGCCGAAGGCCCCGCCAACGTCGTCCAGGATGCGATCCGGGCACGGCTCCCGCGAGGTCTCCGGCGTCCCCATCGCCGCTCGCCGCTGCTATTCCTCTCCGATCGATCGCCAAGAAGACGAATGCGAACGCGAGCGAGCGAGCGACCGACCGACCGAGAGAGAGAAGGAAGCCCTAACCCTAATACAAGACGAAGCGAGACAACGGAGTTGGGGGGCGGCGGTGTTGGCGAGTCGAAGAATCCAAGTTTTGCTGGTCGCGATCGCGGTTCGACAACGGATCCAACGGTGCGTGATGCATTAGTGGTTCGGATGTATTATAAGCCCATTTCAAGCTCTCCAAATGGGAAGAAATTGAACTAATATTATTTTACATATTTACCCTTACGGAACTTGAAAACCTCACATTTGTCCTCAAAATCTTAGTAAACAGATACATACATCAACTTCTCCTGTTAATATCCATACAAAACTTAGTTTAATCTTTATTATCCATGATCACCAGTAGCTAATTTATACATTGAAATTAAAATTATGAACATCTTAAATTTCCTTTACCACCATTTAAATGTATATACTGAATATATATATATATATATATATATATATATATATATATATATATATATATATATAGAGAGAGAGAGAGAGAGAGAGAGAGAGAGAGAGAGAG